AATTTTAGCATGTTATAGATTATTGAATCTAATGTTCTGTTGATATAGCAGCATGGTGAGGAGAAATACAAAATTCCAACGTTTCGTTCGGAAATGTTTTCCGAACGAAACGTTGGAATTACTCATTTCAATATCGCTGATATTTTACAAATATAATTTTTTTTACAAAAGATTACCAAGTTAGGTTAAGAGTAATAACAAACTGTTTTTGAATACACAGAAGGGAGGGTTAAGTTTATGAATAGCTATAGCCTCAGCGTATTTCCTTAAGCGCCCTTGACCGTCTTTATAGATGACCTTAAAGGCTGAATTAACATCAATCTTATGGTTCATCTCGATTAGATGTTTAACTATAGACGAAGATGGTAGTGTGACACCAGTATCTATTGGCTTGTTACAGTTCATCTGTTTTTCTAACCATTTTGCGATATGCTCTCCCACCCTCACGTGCAAAGAGCAATAGACTTAAGTCAAGTTAAAGGGACACATTGAAAGTCAAAATAACAATGAAGATCACTAAACCAAATGACAAAGGTAACAGTACATCTCTTGTGATCTTCATTGTTATTTTGACTTTCAATATGTCCCTTTAATTCGACCTAAGTCTATTTTCTCACCCCTCAACTCTTTGTTACATATATGCTGAGTTTTTGTAAATTCCGGTTTAATAATAATACTTTGATAATGTTATTAGCAGCATTAAATAGCGAAACGTCAGTAAAAGCGACAATATCGTTTTGTTTTTCATTCATTGGGAAATACAAAAAAACCTTTATTATAAAGAATCTATATTCATTAAGGTCACAGCGAATACACGTGACAAGGGTGACTCAGCAACACAACTGTGTCAACAACTTGGAATATAGTTCTGAATACAAAAAAACATGAATGAACAAGAAAATGATTTATATATTTATATATTCAGAACAAAATATTTAGAGCGAAGAATTGTTTTCAATAAATTCTTCTTCAGGCTCTACAATTATAAATCCATTAATGTAAGCATACAATAGCCAGTAAAGGCGAATTAGAATCATATCAGAAAGTGTATTGTGGAACAAGTATAAGATGGGATGGAACAATAGTCATATAGTTTTTTAATATGCATGGACAATAACAACATGGGACAGAATGAGATGAAATAATTTAATTTAATGATATATATATATATATATATATATATATATATATATATATATATATATATATATATGTATATATATGAGTAGAAATCATAAATGTGTGTGTGAACAAAATAATTCCAACAGTTGGTGTGTGATCACGGGCAGTAGTAATTTTGTTCCAAATATTACCAATAACAAAACAGTTATCATTGTGTGTAAACCATTGAAATATAATTATACCTTATCGGAACAGAGTTCAGGGATTTTTATACTAATGAAATGCCCAGACATCGTCGAAGCATCTGCACAAGAAGCCGACATGTCAACCTGAGACCGAGCACTTCGGTGCAATCAATCAAAAATCAAATTCCATACTGGCAAACATAGTTGTGGATATGAAACACAAGACTGATAAAACTTCAGCTTTTACAGTTCTCCTCAAAGTGACACCTCAACTCCATGTTATTTAATAATAATAATAATTTGCTTTATTCAAAAACAGTACTTGTGATACAGAATGGAATTCTCAGCATTTTACTACATACAGTATTGCATCCAGTTAGTACATTATCAATAAATAAAATTCTACATAGATTAAGCGTAATCTCAATTAGTTTTTGATAACAACATATTAGAATGTCGGTAGCAAAGCCAAAAATTGAACAGAGTGTTTGAAGGTGTTAGAAAAGTAGATACTACTAGCGTATTTACTGGAGTTAGCGGTAACAAAACGGTCGAGATATACAGAGTCTGAAAGAAACGAAGAAGAATGTTTTAAATAGAATTAGTAAGGAAGAAAGAAACAAAGCAGCACATAACAGAGAAAAAGAGAGTATGGGAAAAGAGAGAAGGAAAAAAACGTTGTACCTATAAATGATATGATTTCGAAAGACGACAGCCAATTGTTCTACTGATTACTCAATAAGTTATAGGTATCACGCCTAATGCTTTCTTTATCACACAGAACACGAGCTAAGTAGGGTATGGTTGAGTTTTTGTCTTTGCTAGTGTGAGCATATCGTTTTCTACATAGGCTTCTGGTTCTGCCTGATGAGATACAAGGAGGGAGAGTTGTGAATGAAGAGGGTGGTGTGAGTTAGATAGATAGAATGGATTTAGCCCAGTTTTCACATGAATCCAAGTGTCTTTCAACCAGAATATTAACAAGCTGGTCAAGTCGCACGTAGCTTACCCTGCTGACAACCTTTAACATCCTACGTGATAAGATATAGTCTTTCTTGTGTAGCCCTGGAAAAACTAAGGGGGAACAATAGAGAATTACAGGAAGGATGCAAGAGTTAACGAATAATAGCAGTAAAGGTTGGGTTATGCCAGAATGTCTTAACCTCTTGATGTAGAAGGTAAGACGGAATACTTTCTTGGAAATCGTCAAGATATGAGACGACCAGGATCATCATCAGCAGATAGAATGACGCCTAGGTATTTAATTTCTGACTTGGTTTCTATATCAGTGCCATCTATGTTGCACACCTCAACATTATTGTTGTTCATAACACTAATTCATTGATTCATTCATTATAATGTGTAGATATAACTGTGGAGCCTCATGAGGAATTTATCCAAAAGAGTACTCTTTGTTCAGTATCCATTCTTTTGAAAAAATCTTATTCCTTTACGTTCCCAATGGAACATAGATCTTCAAGCTAGAGCTATGAGGTTTCAGTAACAGTGGGCTGCTAGCCTCATCCCCAACCTTTCCTCTCTACCGGAGTTACCACTGGCTTAGCGGGGTTGAGAAGTGCGTCAGCTGAAGACTGAACCTTGGACAAGATGCGTGGTTCTTTGGCGTTCTACCTCTGAAAAACTGACGCATATGGAACAGAAACGGTTCCAGACTATCGAATTTGCTATGATTTAGATGAATTTAATTCAACTGTAAGACTTCACCATGAATCAACAGCAGTTGGAGAAGTCAGTGAATGCCAGAGAGCACTGGACATAACTGTCTCCTCATATTTTGGGACTTCTAATAAGTGCCCAGTCACAATCACATCAAGGATCATGACAAAGCTCGTCTGTCCACTGACCACTTGGGCCATCTTCAATAAGCATCCAGTTCACATCTTGACACAGTGAACGCCACCAGTCACGACTTCTCATTGTAGCTTCAAGAAATCCGTATAATAGCCTCCAGTGAGCTGGGGGATGGTATTTAGTGGTTGAATAGTCAACCAGTTTGGTTTAGTAACCTGAAAGTCCTGGGTTCCATCCATCCATTTGGGTCAAGGATGCGAAGTGCTGAACAGTCCCCTCCCCGAAAATAGGATGAAACAGTGATCCAGTGTCTCTTGGTTTCCAATGATCTATCCAACTGTTGGCGGTTCGTGAAGAAGATCTAACATTTGAATAACGCATTTAGAAGACAAATTTCGCGAGATAATATCTTCATTTTGTAGTTTCTTTACAACCGCTTTACAACTAGCAATATGGTTAACAATAATTAATTTAAATTAAAGGCATGACAATTACTCAGTTATATAAAACTAAAGTACATACTAATGACCAATCATCACACTTAAATAGGTCAAGTAGTCAGTCCATGGTAGGCGAAGGTTGAAGTCTGTTGTGTTGCTTTTGTACACATAGTTTAGGCTGTATGTGGTTAATCCCCAAAAGTGCTTCCATCATATTTAATGTTCAACCTTGAATTAGAGTTATGTGATGAAATAATTGTGAAGCAGTCATTAATTGATATTGATTTTGTGAGCTGACATTAATAAGTGTTTTGCAATGGATGATGGATTCCTATTCAGACTAAATGCATTGGGATTTTCTATATGTTTCAATAACCATTTCCGACGATGACATCAGAACATTCTATTGGTTCTATCTATATAAGTGTCCTCACAACAGAAGTTGGGCTTGCAGATACAGATTGAAGTAGAGTCCACAGAATTTCGTCCTTTAATCGTAGGAACAGGGATCGAAAATGTTCGGCAAGTGAGAAAAAGAGATATGGCGGCGTAGAATGTGCGTTTGATGGCTGACCGAAGTCCTTGAGCTAGCTGTCAACTGCATAATCTGGTCGCCCTTGAATGGTAGATTAATAAAGATGGCTTTCTTTGGTACAGAAGCTGTCTTTCCAAGATGTGGTCTATCCTTACCGTGACAATTGATGAAGTTTTCTGGATTACCATTAGCTAATAAAACTGAATGTAAATGTCGAAAGTCATCCATCAATTTGTCTGTCGTGCATATTTTTCGGGCCTTCGAGAACAAACATTTCACTAGAGGACGTTTATACTGGATAGGAACAAAACTAGTGAAATGAAGATATTGTCCACTCTGTCTGTTTACGAAAATATAGATCTTTTGATCGTTCCATAGTCTCTCCTGGTCATTGAGATATCGTAGAAACCGAGTTCGTTATTCGATTCGAGTTCGGAAGTCACTTGGATATTTGGGTGAATATGATTCAATAGAGTAATAAAGTTTTCAGTAGACTTACTATTATTACCAATAATGAGTGTATCACACACATCCAAGCATATCTTGCATTTGTTTCTCCACTTTCGACATGAATATATCTGCTAACAGGGGCCCAAGGGGACTCCCCATCGCAACACCATCGATTTGTTTGTATGCCTTTTCTTGGAAGGTGAATCTGATATTTTCTGTACATATTAAGATAATGTCTCTGATGTAATTGACAGGAGTAGGTAAGTTTATCCCATCGCTTGTGACGTAATTGCAAATGAAATCAACAGTCTCATGAATAGGAACATTAGTGAATAAACATTCTATGTCGATGGAGCACATAACCGTTCTTTTAATTTTCAAGGTGTTTAACAGTCGCCATTAAAACTTATTCGATTTAAAAGTTTTATATTTGTTCCCATTTATCTCATCAAACAGGAATTGTTTGCACTAATTGGCGGGTTCGACAGTAGACAACACTGTAAACAACCCAGTAACAACCGATCGATATTCCAATCATCAACCAATCAAACTCAATCTCATCCTACTACTACTACTGATACATTTATTAGTAGTAAAAAGACAAAAGGTAAAAATAACAGCGCAGAAAGAAAATTGACCCCATTTGATGAATATATTCAAGTTGACGATATGAAATTATTTTTCTACGCTGGTAATATACGTCAAAGTCATGTGGAAAGGTTAATTCAATACTTAGATTATCAGAATACCGGTAAAATTGATTTTATCACATTTTTAGAATATCTACCTTTATTCGTTGAATGTCATAAACAAATTCTGTGTAAACCGCTTACAACTTCAGAAATATTTATTTCGTGATTCATTTCTTATCCATTTTTTTTGTTAATATCTCCCCTGAGTAACAAAATCGATAAATAATGCTGTGCTATCTCATCTAGGAGATACTGAACATCACAACCAAAAAGAGATTCGTCATTGACGGAGAATCAACCTAATCTATGTATACTAAAGCAGCGCATTCCTCCTGTTCATTTACCCCTGGCATACTCTATGACCTCATCAGAGATGTGATGATCATATATATTTTCATGACTTATTTTTGCATCCTTTTTATTCCATTTCAACTATTTTGCTTCATACCATCATTATCATTATTCCCATTTGTCAGCTCTGGTTGTTATTTGTGATTACTGCTCACGATTCAACCTGTTTATTTCATCCATAAGTTATTTTTCAGCCCACAGAAACTTGCACATTCAGTGTACCTCATTTATGTGTCGATACTTTTGTGGTCATTGCATTTCTCTCACGCATCAATGAACATATAACTCACCCCAGCCTAATGTTAAAATAATACTTCGACGATTATAAATATATTTGAATAAAGCAAGAACAACAGTGGCGGTTTGTGCAGAATAATGCATGGTACCATCATTGTTTATTTCGTTAGTTCCTCATCAGCCGCTGCTTACAGTCTAAATAAGTTATGAATTTTATGTACAAAAAAGTTTTAATATACTTGCGTATTATACAAGATGTCAGTTGACAGACAGAAAGTTCCACAATAAGTGAACAGTGCTCAGAAAATTGCGCTTATTTAATTTTTACACAGGCAAATGCATAAAATGGTAAGAGAGTTATGTAATAAAGACGAGAGAGGTGCGTAAGATGCAGCGTGACTATTAAGTTAGGTAACAATGAACTGAGTTCAACTCAAATCATAGAAACAAGAGACAAGCAAAATTACAGATTATAAAAGGAGGGTGAGATTAAAGACAAGGATTACGTAATCAAGTGAAGGAGAGAACGAATACATCCAGTTACCAGGGCAAGGAGTGCGTCGGTTGTATAGCGGTTAGGACGCTCGCCGACCATGCACATGGTCCAGGGTTCGATCCCCGGCCGACTCACTCGTTTACCTCGCTAAGCCAGAAATAATCCTGGTAAAGAGGAAAGGTTGGGCATGGGGCTAGCAACCCCATCCTGTAAAAATAAACACTACTACAGAAACTTCATACCACTAGCTTGAAGCCCTATGTTTCACTGGGAACGTGAAGGAAAAGTTATTATTTATTATACCAGGGCAAGGAAAGACTAATAACTGCTTCGTTCTGAACACATAAATCTTGTTTCAAGCGTTTGATAGAAACTGTTTCAGGAAAAAATTGAGGAGAATAGAGCTCCTTTGTCTATTGATAATTTTAAAGGATTTCACGATTTCCACCTCATGACCCGTATCAAGGAGATGTCTGGTAATAAGTAGCGCTGCTATAAGAGTTTGTTCCTTGGAGATGTAGGCTTTCCGGCACATGTTCAGAAATATAAATACATTAGCATATCACCCAACTGTCTATTCACATTTCATTTTCTGTTCTAAATGACTATACCTTGTATGTACATTCAGTTTGTTTCAAATCTTTGAATATTCTCATTATTAATATTAGAACAAGACACATAAAAGCGAACAATATAGTTGTTTTCAATTAGGTCTTCCTTAGAATTTGCTCTAATTTACATAAATTTATATATTTTCTATAGTTGATAGAAGTTAGGATTCATGGGCTGACCATTGAGGGGTTGCGTCCCAGTAGCTTAAAATAGTATACGAGCCATCTTGTCTTGTAAACATAAGGTCTTGAGTTCGAACCCGGAAGTATGGGTGAGTAGTGCCGAGGATTCCCAGACTAGGATAAAGCAGCTGTCCAGTAATCCAGTGCTGGTTTTCAGTGATTCTCTAACTGATATCAATCCATGATCAACTCGTAAAAACATTTATATATAAAAAATAAATAATAAATAAATAAATTATACCAAGACTCTACGGACTTCCTAAAGTACACAAGATGGGCACTCCACTTCGACCGATCCTCGACACGACTAATTCACCTTACCACCGCACTGCCCAATGGCTAGCAGACTTACTTGAACCAATCAGAAAACAAGTCTCCCGTCACTCAGTGCGAGATTCATTTGAATTCGTCAAGTGCGTCGAAAACGTCAATGTTTCTAATCAAACGATGATCTCACTAGATACTGTCTCATTGTTTACAAATGTTCCACTAACTGAAACAATTTGTCACATATGCGAGCTCATCCACTCAGAAGGAGTAAACATCGGCATACCCACCGACCACCTAAAAGAACTTCTGCTGAGATGCACCCTAAACATCCAGTTCTCCTTTAAAAATGAAATATATCGTCAAAAGGATGGCATAGCTATGGGCTCACCACTAGGCCCTCTGCTTGCGGATTTCTTCGTGTCAAAACTCGAAAACACTTGCCTAAAGAATATGATTGACAACTTTGAACTCTACAAGAGATACGTCGACGACACCTTCATCATCTGCAACAACGAAGAGAATTTAGAAGATATCCTGAAGTTCTTCAACAACTGCCATTCTGCGATTCAGTTCACACTAGAGAAAGAGTCTAACTCAAAGATATCTTTTCTTGACGTTCAGCTAACGAGACGCCAACAAGACGGTACACTAAAAAGATCCATCTACAGAAAGCCAACGTGGAACGGACAGCTCACTAACTTCCACAGTTGGGTGCCTCTATATACTAAACGAAACTTAATCCGTTCACTAAGCCACAGAATACGTAGAATTTGCAGCCCGGATGCCATAGAAGACGAAATGAACACTCTTAAGAAAATCCTCCTTGAAAATGGCTATCCAGAAAGATTTATCACAAAATCAATGAAACCCAGACCAGAGAATCCGCCAACACCCAGTGCTCCAAAAAGACTCCTCTACATGAACCTACAGTTCAATGGAGACCAATCTACAGAAATACTGAGAAATCGGCTCTCCCGCTCATTGAAGAAAACCTTCCCTGCAGCTGAGTTACGACTGACGTTCTCCACGAGACCAATGATTCGTATGAACGTGAAGGATAAGCTACCGCTGTTGGCCTCATCTATGTGCATCTACCAATTCACCTGCTCGTGTGGAGCCAGGTATATCGGCCGTACTCAGCGTTCGCTATCCAAACGCGTCAACGAACATTTACCTTCATGGTTTTATAAAGGAGAAAACCGATGCCCTCGCAGCTCGATCCTTGAACATTTGATCGACTCTGGACACCAAGTCAAACCAGAAACAAACTTCAAAGTTATCTACAGAATACAAGGCAATCTTGCTAAAAGTGTACGGATCAAACTTCTCCACATCGCAGAAGCAATGGCAATTCATCTGCTAAATCCTGAACTCTGCATACAAAAGAAATTCGTTCATTCATTAAATCTACAATGGACGTAATCTTTCTTAATTTCAGTCTTACTAATTGTATTATTTTGTCTTTTTCATTTTATTTTATCATTTTATTATTTCACATCTTCATTTATATTATTCTCTACCCCACCCTTTTGTAATTTCTACCCTCATTAACAATGTTGCTAACTTGACCCACGTCCAATTTCTAGTCAACTATGTTACGTCACTCGATTAACTTACTTATTTTCAACTGTATTATTCTCTAACCCCACCCTTATTTAATTTTAACCACCACTCATTAACACTGTTGCCAACCTGACCTACTCTGAATTCTACTCAACTGTATTACGTCATCCAATTCACTTAATCAATTCTATTTTATTTTCTATCTGAACGTTTGTCTCCAAGCCAAATAATACTTACATTACATAATTATCTAAACTTTATAAATCTAATGTACACACACACAAACAAATTTGTGTATATATGCGATTGTACAGCTCAGTGAATGAATTCGCCGAAAAGAGTCTCTTCGCTGAACGTCTTCTTTTCTTTTATATGACTGAATGGGGATTTTCAAGTTATTTAAATTAGAACTGAAACTGAGCAAATAAATTGGATGGCGTAGCATAAATGACTAGAAATTGAGCGTTGGTCAAGTCAGTAACAGTGGTAGTGAGGTGCTGAAATTAAATCGGGTGGGGGTAGGGAACATTCTTGTATTACCTGACCAATTATCGAAACTTGACAAACCTTATGTACACACACATACACACAAATAATTATATATTATTATATATAAATGCGATTGTACAACTATGTGAATGAATTCGCCATCGAAAAGAGTCTCTTCACTGAACGTCTTCTCTTTTTCATATGACTCCATGGGGATTTTCAAGCAATTCAATAAGTAAATAAATTAGGTCAGATCTTCGAAGTTACGTAATACACCACGCTTTGTTTGTCATTTTCAAGCTACCCATCAATTATGATCGCTCAAGAGAAAGATAAGCTACCCAACTGTGCCACTTTTATCTGCATCTAGAAATTTCGTGGTTCTTTTGAAGAGAGCTATATAGGGCGAACAACTAGACAGCTTAACAAAGCAATAATGAGCATCTCTCTTCCCTCATGGTTCGGAAAAGCCCAAATAAAATCTGTAATAAGTTCTATTCTATCCCATTTGGTTGATGAAAGCCGTCACCAAGTGGACAGAAGAAGAAGTGTTTCCAAAGTTAGTTATCTATCGCATTCCATCGAGCCTTCCGAACGGAATTCGAAACCGCCTGCTAGACATATAGCCGAAACTATGGGGATTAATTTGAGAAAACAATCCTAGAGCCTTTGCATGCAAAAGAAGAAGTTTGTTCCACCTTTGTCTCTCCCTTGATTAGCCTGGGCGAAGTTTAATTTTAAAAAATCCCTCCTCCCACCCTTTCTTATTTCCAATTTCCTATATACTTGTACGATATTTATTAAAAATCTGAATATCTGTCCACATTTCCTATCTTTAGTATTATGTAACTTTTAAGATTTGACCTTATTTATTTAGAACAACACATTTAAGCGAACAATATTGTGGTTTCAATTAGATCTCATCAGGTTTAACTCTAATATACCTACATAACTACAAATAAAAAT